ACACACACACACACACACACACACACACACACACACACACACACACACAGACAGCCTTTCGACAGTATGCGTTTTTGCCGGCTGTAGCAGCGCTGCACAGCAAAAACGCATAAAAACAGACAAAAACTTGGTATTGAAAGTAAGCAAAAGCGTAGAAAAAAGATTGACTGTTAAAGAAACTTGAACTTCACGAATGAACTAAATCTAAAAAACAATAGTGATGGAATTAGAATGTGCGAGAATCGTCGGATGCCAGCGTTTTATTATGTTTTACCTCAAAAAATCCTGCAACAATGAAACATTATGCTTCATCGCTGTAGAATTTTTTTTTTTTCGCTTCATTCGGCCTGGTACCGGTGCATCCGACGTTTGACAACATTTCAGCAAACATGTGATATCTGCTCTATCTGTCCGGGGGTCTTGTTATTCTTGTTGCAATTACGGGGTATAACGAGAATTCGTAAGTCGGAAAAGGTTTTTGAAAAAAGTAAAAAACGGTAAAAACTTTTTTTTTTTTTAAAATTTATTTGGCATTATCAACATTTGCTGTTTTTAAATTCCTCACAAAAATTCCATCTGTATTTCAGATGATTAGCATACCAAATCAGCATCAGCAGCAGTGGACATCCATTTCCGAACATGTGGACCCCAGTGTGCACCGCCTAATATTCCACAAAAAATCTCGACCAGTGCGGCCAGTCCGTAACCTTTGTAACCACCTGGAAATTTACGTATTACTTTTAACACTGAATTGAAAGGCATGCCGAAAATTTTCAGTTTCAGTACAGCATCAAGGCAGCGCACTGTTTTCCTCAATTATATCGACCCCTGCCTGATGATATAATTTCTTCCTAAATTCCAGTCTCCTAGCTTCTGCAGTTCTGAATTAAGCAATGTGGTCGAACAAACAGATCAGTATAAACATAGATGCAGCACAGTCAATGCACTTTTTATATTTCACATAAAAAATGGTTAAAAACAAATGAAATAACGTAATTAGTCAATCAGCGATAATTTGATCAGTCAAAAATAAATTTAAAAAAATTCCAGCGTATTTTTGGCAGAACAAATTAGTTTTCTCTTCCCATCCAAATTATTTGAAGCATTGTGTAAAAAACAAATTATTTGAAGCAGTGTGAAAAAAAAATTTTCCAGACCGAAGAAAAACCAGTTACCGTCCACTTCGGTTCCACCAAGAGGAAGAAGACCGCCGCCAGCCAAAATTTTTCCTGGATCACTGCTAACAAATCCATCCGATGCAACACCCCATGTTTGCGGAACACTTTGACTTTTCCGCGCTGCTATTTCTATCTGCAATGTGAAGCTAAAATCGAAATTCAAATTATTTCTGAGTTACAAGAATTCGTATTTAACATAGCATTCAAAATCTTTAATGCAAAAGTCTATAGGGTCCGATTTCTTGGAAAACAGTGAAACAAGATTGCGTCATATCATAGGAGAAAAAAAATCTGCGTATTTAAAGAATTTTTTGCTGGATTGACTGGGATAATTTTTTTGGTAAACATGCTCAGCTGGTAAGTTGAGACCTTTTTGTGTTTACTCTAGTTGCTAAGAAGTGAAGGTATTCGGAGCTATCCAGACTAGTAGCCCATGCCAAAAACAATTGTCCACTGCAGGTAAGTCGGTGGTAAAGATCAGCGGGGCGCTCACGGTAAACATTAGCAGGAAAGCTGAAAAATCGATGCGAAGAACTTAGTAGTGATAAAGTAAGTCCACACTATCCCTTCCAAACAAAAAAAGGAGGCAAAGTAGTGCTGAACCAATGTCAAGAGGAACTGTCGCTGGCTTCTCCTGCACATAAAAACAAACACAATGAAAAACAAACAAATTCTGGAACTTCCTAAAATTATCCCAGAAAATCAATTCTTGACTGCTGTTGCTTGCTAGCAAATCTAATCAAGCTTAATCAAGCAGAGGAATTCTGATGTCAATATTGTTACTAAGTGCTCCTACACGCTACACCATGTCCTTCGATCTTGAACTGAATTCCTGCTTTGTTTGATGTACATGAGCTGTTGTTCCAAAGGTAATACTCGACTAGTCGTTTTACTTTTTCACAGATATCATTCACTAATAAGTAACCCCTGCTAACTAGCACGTATACATCGTCAACAAATGAATGGAGGCGAGTGAAACTGACAATTCTTTGATCAATTAGTAATTTTCATTCACAGGACGAACTTTATTTCAAAAATCACAGTAACTGAAAATGAGCACAAAAATGTGAACACTGAGATGACAATCATTTTCAAAAGTGCGGGAAAAAGAGGTGCAATATTGAAACAAAACAGCGCAACGATCATTTTCCTTTTCATTCCGGAATACATACTTGTGAAAGAATATAGCTGTAAGAGCATTTGACGGCACCGTTTTTGTATGGCTGGTTCCTGGTTTAACAGCAGCTGAAGAGCACTACCAAGGTGCCCCTTATCATCCTGTTCTGTTTGCTGCTTATCTGCAGTCACTAGTCGTCCATCACAGCAGTCGCAAACAGTCAATGAAATCCACTGCACGGTCTTTTCCCGCAATCAGTTCTGTCTTCCACTGTATCACTAGAGCTGCAAAACCAGTCTTTGCCTGACACAAACTGATAATCAATCCATAGCTGATTAGCGTAGTTCCATCGATGATACTGCTTTGCGAGTGAATGGGACTTCGATGGCCCCATGCAATTCCTTCAAACCATCAAAGATTGCGGCACACCTAAAAACGAGGTAGCAATTTCGAACTGTCGTCGTCGAGATCGCATCATTCCAACGTTGAATTCCTCGCCCGAGATCGATCAGTCCTCCCTTTCTTCACAACTTCAATTGTTCCAGCTTCTTCGCCAGAAAGCCGATCCCTTTTTCTTCTTTGGCATCCCAGTCATGCCATCATCCTCCTACGAAGCATTTTCGGAAAAAATGACGAGTAGCTCTGTAATTTTGCTATTTATAGTACTACCAGTTGGTGTGTCTATATGCATATGGATTGCTATTTCTCGGCTCATCGCTGTTTGGACACGCCACATAAACCTGGCACCACTTGCATAGAACTGCATTGGCCTTGCAACATTTGCATACGATTGTCTTTCTATTGGCATATCGCTCATTTGCATATGAAACTGTTTAAGACATACAAACAGCATATTCACTCGTCGATTTACATAGCTAAATTTAATTATTTGCATGTGTTTGAAGAATTTGCTTGAATAATTACATGGGATCACTTGGATAAGAAGAACCTAAAATAAAGAATGGAGAGGTTGTAAGCTGCAACAATGGCGAGAAGCGCGATGATGAAATAACAGCTGATCCTTTGATTAATGCAATGCCAAACGATAAATCGTTTTTCAGGTGCATGAGAAGCGGACACAATTGAGGTTAAAGTTTTTTTTTTCACGCTTTCATCTTAGGCCATTTTGATAATTAAGAGTCAAAGTTGTATTTTAAAAAAAATGTTACACTAATTTATTCAAAAGGTCAAAGCCAAAGTCCCCTCTGTGACCGCTCTCCACGTATGATGGAGGCACTTGATGGCAAATACCAGCAGCAGCCACCAACTGACAAGGATGACAATGATTCCCTCTTTCGCGAGTTGTTTACACGCAAGCTGATGACTGGCTTGGTTTCTTGGGACCATGCTAGTACCAATTTGCCATCGAAACGAATGAATGAATCGTAGGGGATAGATTGCGTTTCACTAACTGAACCGAACCTTCGGCTTTGAATAATGAAAGTAAACGTTAGTTGTTAAAACAGCATTATTGATGGTGCCTGCCAGAAAACAGTCATCTCTTCAACAATAAGCTCATCCCAATGTTCGAACAAGAAAACAGTATATGTAAGGAAAATTTTGCGTCCAAATTTTCCCACATATTGTGACAGGTCAGAGGTCAAAGACCTTCCCACTTTGATAGCTCGAGGTATACGAAACAGACCCATCTGATAAGCCATCAGCATCCTCTACAATTTTACAGTTTTCGGGAAGTTATTGACAATTTTGAAATACCTTTCCAACAGCAACAGTGGTTGTAGCCATGTCCAGTACAAAAACATCTCTTGTAGCTTTGGCAGCGAGTGTCAGCGGATTCGTTCCAAGAGCCGGCTTACTGGATCTCGTTGGATACATAATTGGCGAGGTATTCGTGAAAGCCATCCCCTCAAACATGACAAAAGCATTAGGTGCGATTTGGACAAGCTTATGAATATCTGCACTTATCTTTGCCCATCATTTAATAAGTTGGATTGCTACTTACCACTGTTTTATATTTTTTAGCAATTGAGACAATAGTATTGATAAACAAAAAAAAAATTCAGGAGAAAAACTAACTAGAAGTCCCTGTTTCATGGCTTGCATGCTGTACCAACCAGCAATTCCGAAATGATTTGATCCTGCAGTTATAAAAAGAAAATGTTATTTCAGTAAAGCATTTTGTTTGTTTTCTTGCCCAATTTTGAAGTTCCACGATTGTAAAATATCCCAAGACAACACGATGTTTATAAAGCTGTTCATTTGATAAACCATCAGCATGAACAGCTTATCAAAATTATCTACTGGCTACCACTTTCTCTTCTGTTACTCTTAAAGAGAAAAGCAAACACGCCAACATACACATAAACGAACGCACGCATATACGAACTCAATTACAGTGCATAAGCTCAAGAAACGAAATATTCCTGTTCATCTGGTTATTTTTTTTTTTTAATATATTTTTTATATTTTTTTTTTGATATATTTTTTTTTGATATATTTTTTTGATATTATCATCACTAGTATCTTCATTACCTCTAGCAACGACCCATCCAACACCGGCCTCCTTCGCTTTCTTAGTGGCCAAATCCATGCAAAAATTACCAACTACAGGACCAAGTAAATTATTGCCATCAACCCAAACACTGGCAGCGCGCTCTTTGAGTACTTTCGGTGAGCCATCTTTTCGACATACGCCTTCTTGCACATCCCGGACATACATATCTAAAATTAGCTGAGGCTCATCCAAATCAAATTTCTGCCGTCAAAATATAATTTCCACTGATATCTTTTCACTATTGTGAAAGAAAATCCACAGTATGACACAATAAATATTGAAAGAGCGAAAATCAAAAAACAATTTAATTTCCAGTTATACCTAATCGATTCATCCCATGGCTGTAATGTCCTCTTACATCGCCTGCTACTAGTACATCGGCAAGCTGTTCGGCATGGCTCCTCGAAGAACCCGCACTGACCATACAGTCAACCATAAACCTTGTTGCCTGAATTTTTCAAGCAGTGCTTAGCAAAATCTTTTCAGACAGATACTGTATAACATGTCTACTTCTTCGTTATCAAGATCAGCAAAACCGCTCAGATAATCCGAATGAGGATCTAATACTTCAATGACCACGAATGCTGGATAATAATTACGCCAGAGCCTTTGATCCTAAGTTGCATACCTTCAGTTAATACCTAACACCTGTCCGATCTAGGTGCGCCACTTCTTCAATGACTATTCGAGTGGTCGTTCCTTTCCCGTGGTTGCTACTGACTGATACGCAACTTCCACCCAGGTGACAGCATAATTTTACGCATCGGAAAGTGCTTTCTTGCGTGGTCTGAACGATGTTCTTTGCAAGAATTTCATTTGATGGATAGTCTAGTTTCATGTGTGACTGTGAAGAAACACTCCGAGCACCCATTTGTTCTTCTGTCCGCCCTTGATTATTTATTTTCAGTGATCGATTTTCACATTTGTACGTTGCTGCCTTCAACGTAATAATACTAAAGAGCTGGGCACGGTCCTTTCGGTTCGATACTTGAGTGCATCAGTGATGCTCTGAAATTTTGCACAAAATGGCAGTTCTTCTCAATGCGGTCCCTCATTCAATTGTGTGGCTCATATTTACTTCCTGGGTGAGATAGACGTAACGGTCAGCTTCTTCCATACTAACTCCCTCTACTTGCAGCCTGGCCAACAGGCATAACTTGTTTGAGTATTCGCTGAAATGACTGAAAATAAAAACCACTAAAATTTGATTTGCGAGTTAAATAGCTGGACAATGACTTACCTCTTCAACAGCCACAATTTTTTCGCCCGCTTCGGGCATCGTTTTTAAGCCTCTATTGGAAGTAGCAAAAAAACAGCTGGTGATAAAAGTGGTTGATTTTGATGCAGCAGCGCTGTTCGATCGGGATGAACGAGGATGAGCTAGTGATAGAGGTTGTCGGGATGCTGGTAATGCTGCGCCGGAAACCAAGCAACTACAGCGATTTATCACCACCCGTTTCAACATCATTTTCTATTCTGTCAGTCCACCTGACCTGTACTTTAGGCGCAGCTTCAAAAACAATAAATTTATTGATCCAGATTAATCAAGCCTGCAAAAATGTGGCCGGTAACATCAAAGAAATCTAAAACTGTTATTGGAAAAACTGACAAGCATGACGCAGTTGTAAATACTCCTCCCACTTCGCTCTTCTGCTCACCCCTGTATTTTGAGGTTAGAGAGTACAGAATCATAGTTGGAAATAATTCTTTGGAATTTCTATACAATTAAGCCTCTGTGAATTTTCCCTGTGGGCGAAGGCCATTGCGGAGAGCGAAGAAGAAGCGACAACGGGACTTTAAAAAAAAAATGCACAAGTATTATATCCATTACAACATTAATCAAAGGGCGAAAAAAGGCAACGATTCATATCTACTCTACTGTTCATCTCTGGAAGAAAGAATGAGCGGACCAAGAAAGCGAAGGCTGCGATCAGTAGCAAGAGGCTGACCAGTGGACGACGACTAGGACTGTCCAGTAGCACTAGAAAACGTCAGCTGGTCAAAATTTTAAAATAAGTACCCTATTCATTGTGAGCATATCAGATATCCAAGCACTGGCAGAGTGATGATCAGTGAGGGAAACAGCCTCCCCTGTCCTACAAAGCCGTAGTGAAAACCACCAGTGTGAGAAAGAAAAAATACGAAAAATCAACTCAGAAGACGCAAATCCAAGCATATGTTTTAAAGTTAGTGAAAAAGTGGAAATTTTTGCTGAACAGAAGGCAAACAACAGCTAAAAAGTGCTAAACTATGACGAAAACTGAAAAACTGAGCACAAAGAAATTCAAGAAATTCAGGTACATAGTAAAGTGATTGCAATGGAAAACTTAACAGTCTTTATTAAGAAAGGGTAAAAAAAAAATTAAAGAAGCGATGACAATAATAAGGAGAAAAATATAATTATAATAATAACAATAGCAATAATGATGGTGATAGTAATAGTAATGGTAATGACAATAATAATAATAACAATAATAATGAGAGTCAATAACAGTACAAACGAAAGAAAAAAGGATACAGCGGAGCAAAATGAGGACATCGCGAAATCAGAAGTGGATGCCATTTTGCTGAAAGGCTTTGCCGAAAGCTCGAGTCAGTCTATTAGCACGCTAAAAACTCGTGATTTTCTGGTTCATTATAAAAATTATCTGAAGCAAAAGCCAAAGCTTTTTCCACTCTCCATGAGATGCAAAAGCGTTCAGGAAGTAGCACGAGCTATAGTAAATGCCAACAGTAACCATTCGCTGGTAAGATTGTTGACGAATTCCTCTTTCCAGCGATGCTTACTAGCAGATTGATGGTGGCTTTGACCCACTGGCAAGTGCTAATATCAATTTACCATCGAGATGAGTGAACGAATCGTAGAGGGGCTGTGAACTCGAACTTTCGACTCACTATAAAACAAATATGTTATTCCAGCCGTTTTATGCCTGACATGATGAAAACTTAATGATCCAGCATCAGGCTTAAATATTAATTAGTTTTGTTTGCATGTTTAAATTGAGGTTAGAATTATAGCTCTAAGACGAGACAAATATGAATTTGAAGATTTTTTTTTTTGGTGATTCCATCCGACAAATAAACTAAAAATCATCGTATCAAGGTAAAACCAACTCATGCACGCTTTGTCGCACTTACTGTGGTTCTGATTTTTTATTGCAAAAATGCACAGTGGCCTCTGATCCTTGCCATGCAACTCTATTTGTTTTATCAGACAATTAGCGCCTCCTTCACTAATTTATTGCTATGAAAAATATTGAACGATGGCCGACGGTTGTGGCAAAAAATCATTCTGGTTTTGCGGGTTGTCTCAAAAAAATCAAAGAAGGTGAGCACAGAATGATTTACCGCACAGAAATGCAACAACCGTGTTTCCGAGACTTACATCAGTCCTCTCTTCGATGTCCAATTTCAGCAATTTAATCGCTATTTCAGCAATGAATTTATTTTTTAAGTATACTAAATAAACAGGCACAGTTATTAGTACTCAAGTGTTCAAATAATAATAACAGTAATAATAATAACAATAATAATAATAATGGCAATAACAATAAAAATAGTAGTAACAATAATGACAACAACAATAATAACAACAATAGTGACAATAATGATAACAATAATATAATCTAGTAAGATGAACAAAAACTATTTTTCTGAATTTCAAGAAAAATCAATTGGAAAAATTTCAGATAACAGTATTAACCAATATCGCCCAGGTATAAATAAATGGTAACGCGCACCAGACTAGCCGGTGCGATCATGCGTTTTGTGCAATTCAACCCATCGAACGATTGCCT